GGCACGTTAAATGACATGGATCATAATCAGTCCTAAAGGTGTAGATAGATTCACTCTTTGTCTCCCTTTAAATCTTGATTTTCGAAATTATCCCATGTCTTGGCTGTTTTAGTAATTTTCGATGGAATCAAACTAACCCTATCTAATCTTTTCGCCTGTTACTGATTTTATTACTCGGACAATTTTCTTGATAATTTCATCTTGCTATTTTAATGTGGTATGACAATTTGAATTGATCCGTACATATGCCAGATTCTATATTGTCCATAACTGACTGATGTAGTTAAACATGTATTTGTATCTAGTACTTATAAGGGTAATTTACATGCTGCAGAACGAAGTTTTCAGCAAATACTATTTATCCCAATAAATGATGATGGACACCGACTAAAATTGATTCTAAGTATGTATTTTAAATATAACACATTCGACCTGAAAATCCTACTGTGCGTACTGATAACAAGTTTAAAATCAATAAAATATTTATTAACTAGTTTAGATAGTACGGGTGAAATATGGGTAGAGGTGAAATTTAGGACTCGTGTTTCGTCCTGTTCTTGACTCGTCACCTGGATTTACCTGTATCCCATAGTTGATATACAGTCCATAATTTAAACTCAATACCTTTTGTTTTAAACACCAACGCGTTATTGAATTAGTAGCTGAGTCCATTTAACACTAAATGCAGGATGCAGGTAAATCCTTCTGACGAATTCCATGTAAACGTTGAGACATGTGTCCTAAATTCCACTGCTGACCATACTCCATCTATTCTATATAAACCTATGCGGCAATACACATCAAAGCAACATAGTCGGAATGCACATATGTCAACTACGATTGATAAAAATTTAGTCAACATATCAGTAACGGGATAATTTAAACCATTACAAACTAAATAGGTGTTCACCGATCATTAGTTTTCATTAAATATCTAGTTAAAGGATCAAGTGTATTTTAAACTTCAATTCAAAATGAACAATTTCTACAAAGCCCTTACTTGAATAATTTTTTTCCGGTTAGCCTTTTTATAGCGAGTTGGTTTGCTACGGGATAGGGTCGCTAACCCCATGCTCAATCATCCTCCTGACTGTTGCTGCTACATTGACGTGGTGGTTGGGCTTGCCTATCGTGATGAACCAATCGAGCTATGCTGGCTGGAACAATCGTTCCTCGAGGTCCTACCATGCCAGACAGGTCGGTTGAAGAGCGGTAAGACTAAAAGCAGCAAACCCAAGGTCCGAAGGCAAAGTCGTACTGTCGACTGTACAGAGGTGTGACGGCAGTAAGGTGTTTCCTTCAGACAACCAGCATGACAGCGATGCTGCCTTCCCACAAGGAGGGGTGGGGTTAGAAAAGATCGACCATAAAAATGCACACCTCGCCTTATCCCACGGTTATCCGTCTCCGTCGGTAAGGTCCTTTGAAGAACGGAGCTAACACGTCAAAAATCCCCCACAAAAAGGCCGTGCGTGACTGGCCTCAAGCAGTTGTCCCTTGGGCACTGCGGTCACGCTCCCAGGTCGTTAAGACCAACACTAATCCAACTTCTTTTTCAGGTCCCTCAAGAAATACCCTTCCACGGTGTGGGCAGCCCGGGAAGTGATATTAGCCCTCATACCTCTAACAGCACTCAAGACCACTGTATTCATAATCAATCCCTACTACTCCTTCTACCTTGACTTTCAACACTAAACTTCCTCTACCGGTTTTCTCCTTAAGTGTCACCATGGTCAACGATTCTAGTGCGCGGAACGCTGTCCCAGGTTGGAGACTGTGGGTAACATGGCTCAGAATCGATCACAATGGCACAGGTGTATACATTCTTCATCTTCCCTTAAACCTTGAGATTAAAATTGCTTCGTAACTTTTTTCCTTCCTATACTATATCCTTATATACAACCTTTCTTTATATACTACCACCACTAAATTAATTACTTCTTTAAATCCGCTGTTGATCTTGTTGTGCTAACGAGGTATGGCAACTTGGACCGATGCATAAATTTGCCTGGTCCTACGTTGTCGCTGATTGACTGACTGACTTTACCCGGGTTTGGGACCTGCAGTAGCCCCCGGAGGAGCTACAGACGGAGTTACAAAGCCCTTATAGTAATAAAAAAGAAATATGTTGATAATACCATTTAGTTAAAGTACAACTGAATATCTTTAAAAGAAAATTAGTGACTTGTACATTAGTGTAAACAGGCAGTATATCATTACATAATATACATACATTCAGCAGTGAACAAGTTTTATTCTGCAGTTACAATCATAATTCGAATGAATATAAAAGAATCTAATTGCTTATATCATGTAGTGAAAGATATTGTACTATAGTTAAACAAAGCATCTTTTTATTTCCCAACTAAATAGTTCTTTATTTTTAACCTATAATCATTATATTTCATTTATGTTAATTGTGATTAGCTGATGGTAATCTTATTTCGGTCAGCTAATCATAGTTCTCATGAATATGAAGCAAATTTTATTGAAATTATAAAACAATTTAAGTTAGATAACCATTAAAAATCTGGAAGCTTTGGAGGATTGTTTCATACTAATATGGGACTCCTCATCAGTGCGCATGCGCAACTCCGCAACTGGGAATTATGTGCTCTCTAGTGGCTAACTTCGACAGGAAATTTCCAGAGTTCTAGAAGAAGCGATGACCAGTGGTGTTCAACGGTGTCGAATTATTATTATTATTAATGGCTAGATAAATATCCACTGAAGAAAATGGAAAATAATCAAGCAATATTGTGAATTGATTGGTTAGACAGTAGCATCGTTGGATGCCTACTTAGTAGTCTACAGGTCAGTCGTTCACATTTGAAATCGAGGATCATGGGTTTGGATTACCAAATGAGGGGTTGTGAATATACATTACTGAAGTGTCCAGTACTAGGATGAGAAGCACGTCCAGTGCTTCCAGACTCAATGGTTTTGTAACTTTTGTGGGCTTATGATTTCAGTAAGATTCATCATTCTCTACAAATTTGTACTGATATTGATCCAATTGCTGATTGATCTTAGTAAACTGTGGTTTTACTGTATTATGTATTTTGTTCTCACCTAACTTATATTTCAGTCAGCTTATACATAGGCCCCCAAATGCCCTGGTACGGCCTAAAGTGGGGAGAGCCCACCCTTTCTCTCAAAATGCTCTCACACGGCCACGTGTATAGAAAATCTATAGTTTGAATAGAACAAATTGAGGGTTAAAAGTATGAAATAAGAAATAAAAATACCTTTCAGTACTCTGATCAATTTCGTGAACTGTTACCTGGCGTTGTTTTACCTACTTTAATCTTCATCCACTCTACAGGTGTACTTGTCAGCTTAACATAATTTAATAGACAAAAGTTGAATATACATCAAACATATCTCAATAGTATATTATATCTAATCAATTCCCCATAGTTTACAACACGATGATTATGTATCCATCATGGTGAATATTTCTGTTTGGTCATGTAAACGTTTTTTTAGTGTTATACCAATTGAGTGAGTGTGTGTCCTGTTTGATATATATGACGTTATGAGACCGCCAATCAGAGAACAGTGAATTTATTGATCGCTCAATGATACACAAAAGCCGTATAAGCAGTCTAGAGTGCTTATCGGTACTGCTTCTTGTTATGCCTACAGACTAAATCGATTCCGCGGTAACGAACGAAAGCCAATGACACAATGACACGATAAGCTATTCTAATCGGTTGTCCCAGGCCCCGCTAACTAGATGAAGAAGTCCAAGGCAAGTAGGGGAATATATATGTATTCCGTAAGCAGCCGAGTACAAGCAATCAAATAAGGGGAAAATTCAAGCGCATTTATACAGTAACAAATTGTCCTTGAGCATCATTAGTAAATAGCACACATAAAGAAACAAAGGACCAATAGCGGTTAAGATAGTTTACAGGTGGGAAATATGACGTGAAGGTAAAAAGAGCGCTTTTGGCGCGAAAACAGCTAAATTCAAATTTTCAAAATAAAACTACAAGATTAAGCCATTTACCAAGTAAGTTCTGGGGATTTGACATCCCCAACACTTCTACTTAGCCCAGAACACAAATAACAGCCTCTACGGTATGGATCATTATATTTCAAACATATTGAGTTTATATACCAAACAGACTGAGCACAAAGTACCAATAAAACAGAAAACACTTGTACAAGATTTAGCCAAATATGGCTGTGAATGTGGGAAGCAGTAATTAATAGACTAGGGATAACTCAAGAATGGTAAATCGCAAAATAATAGTCTATAGATCAAAGTAAAGCTCATGATTGAGGGTGAACATGAATACGAATAGTTTAGTTATTTAGCAATTATTTTCATTTATTTATACACATAAATATTGGTACAAGGAAGCACCAGATATATATGCGCCTCACAAATCTCATTCGATTTGCTTGAGGGCTTTGATACTGCCCAGGTGCCCAGACTGAAGCAGGTGGTTTTCTTAGGGGGCCACACCCGGAGCCTTTGACCTGAAGATCTGATCCACGAGGCAGTGGAGTATCGTGAGGAGATGCAGTCCCATGGTAGCCGGTGACCAACGATTAATTCATACGCCATTTATTCCCTCAGGGCACTGAAGCTCATGTGCACCATTGGTTTGGAATGAGGGTTTTCCAACTCCACTAGGTGGATTTTCCGTGTCCATCAATCCGGTTAAAGCGTCGGACATTCGCTTTTTGTCCTCTCAATTTCTTAAAGAACAGTAATGCCACTGTGAGAAGGTAGTGAGTAGGACTTCCCTGACAGAGGCTATATACGCGTGGCCATGTGAGAGCATTTGGAGAGGGAGAGCGGACTCTTCCCACTCTCGGCCGTACCAGGGCATTTTGGGGGCATTTAGCAATTATACGATAAAAAGTAAATGCAAAATATTGATCCATAAATGGATCCTAAAGTTACCATTCACTATTTTTATCAGGATATAACATTTAATAATTAATCCTTTTTATTATATATATTTTGTTCTATTACATTTCAGATCTTTCAAAAGATCGCTTACCAATAACATTTCCTTCAATATCCATTAACTCTAATTATATTCCTCAACTTCAATTCCAAGATCAAACTACATCTAACAGTAATAATCATTCATCAACTTTACCAATGTCAATAAAATTAGAAACACAACAACCTAATCACCATAAAAACAATAATAATAATAATAATAATAGTTTATTACAAACATCTGCGAATTCAATGAAAGCTTTAGAAAATTTATTAGAAGCTATTAGACATGCAATGTTCACTCATTCCATTCAATCATCGTCATTATCAACTCCTTATTTATCATCAATGCCATCATTATCATCAGCATTTTGGCATCAAAATCAAAATATTACTACTACTACCACTACTGGTAGTAATAATAACAACAGTAATAGTAATGCAACTAATAACAGTAGTGATGATCAAAAGTTGTTCAGTGTACAAATGAATAATTTTAATAAATTAACTAATTATAAACATATGATACCAAAACGTGTCGGTAAGATTATATTCAATCTATTTTTGTATTAATAGTATGATTTTATTTATTTAAGCGCATAAATATTGATACAAGGAGGTACCAAATGTATATGTGCCATACAAATCATCCGATTTGTGTGAGGGCTGGGATACTAGCTGTGAACCCAAACTGAAGCACATGGCCTTTGACCTGAATGTCTTATTTACAAGGTAGTGGAGCGACGTTAGGAGATACAGTCCTATGTTAGTCGGTGACCCTCAGGATCCTAAAGACCTTATGTACCATTAGTTTAGAATCAGGGTTTTCCAAATCTTCTAGTTGGATCCTCCATATCCACCAACCTGGTTAAAGCACCGGACATTCGTTTTCATTCTCTCGATTTCTTATACAACACCTCCACCATGCGAAGGTAGTGAATAGGACTTTCCTTGGAGTCGTTGTATACGTGTGGCCATGTGAGAGCATTTCGAGATGAGCCGACTCTCATTATGCTTAGATATTCAGTTATTGTTAGTGTCATTTGTGCTTGCCTGTTCTTTTCTTTTGTCTATTATAGTAAAATTTCTCGCTCGACTCCCCTACAACATTTTTGTTACCCGTGGATAGGTAACTGATCTCTATATGTCTGTCCCTTGTTTTTCACACTGAGAAATCTGTTATTCATATTTGTGTTTTTTTGGTTGTTTTAAAATGTCAAAATGTAATCTTTGATGAGATCATATCACGCGTAAAACTATGTTCTATCTATTTATCTTTTTATATTGATCTATGTTTTTTTTTTAACTTAACACCAATGAGCAATAGGCGTTAGGGTCTTGTATAAATGCATATTCGTTCAGTTTTCTAATCCTTACACATCAGAATATCTACACCAGTGGTTAACAAGATGAGGATAATTAATTTCAACTACAATGCAAGGATAAATAGATGAAATATGGTTCAATAGGAAAAGTTGGACAATGGATGTCTCTCCTTATTATGTAGTTCATCAGCAGTGTCCATCCACCGCTTTGCCTGGGATTAAATGGAATCGCCTAACCTTTAGACTACTGAGTTGGTATCCATTAGTTTGCATTCCTTACTTTGGTCAATGTTACTCAGTTCAAGATTTATGGGAAGATGTAAAATAAATGCAACTACGTCAGTGTTATCAATTTTGTGCTGTTACCTGACTCTTCCAACTGTTGGAGAACAATATGAATATTTTACGGACGTCAACCAAGATGTCTGCACTTGCGGACGCTTGATTCAAGTTAGCAATCAATAACTTTATGGATTGAAGACAACTCTTAATCTTTTCTCCTGTGTTTCTTTTTTGAAATCTACTTCTTTTTCGAGCATCAGTCAATGTCAAGTTAGGCGATAATTAACAATTCAGGTTATATTTTAAAATTACGTTAATTTCTGCAAATGACATGGTGAGTATTGGATTGTCAGTTAGTTCTAATTGGCCGCTTACATATAAATAAACATTTTTATTCTTGATTACGGATCGGAAACGTTTTCTTTGATATAAAGAAAAAAATACCTTTAAATCAATGAGCTAATCTTATTCCGTGTTGGAAATTCATTCAGACATAGTGACTGTATGAGGTCGGTAAAGAGATACCGGAAACCAACTGTTGCATGTGTTTGCAATGTATATTATTTGGAATTATAAGTATTGATGTTTGATGTTTGGGGCTAGTAGGTGAGAAACTATCCTTGAGTGAGGTTTTATACCAGTTGGTGCCCATCAATAAAGCGTATCTGCAGTCTTCAGAAAATCAATACTCACTTGGTTTAATCAAAGTTGAAGTCATTAACTTTTCATCTGAATCATGTTGATAGATGCAAACTATTTAGTTTGCCTCCTCGTAATAACCACAATCAATGACTGAAGACTTCAAATGATTTGTCGGTCAAAATGACACAGATTCGTTTTCTCTTTATCAGTTGATGAGGTGATGAATCTTCATCGACTGAGATGGTTAGGCCACGTGTTACGTATGCCTAAACACCGATTACCACGACGCGCAATGCTGATAGTGTAGAGAATGGTTGGAAAAGAGTTATGGGCGGCCAAACCAAAACATGGCATCAGTGTTTGAAATCACTAACTTCTAGTCTGAGCCATGTTGGTATGTGCAGACTACCTGGTTGTGGTCCGCGTGACTATCGTAACCAATGGTTGGAGACTCTAGGTGACATGACTCATAATCGATCACAATGGCACAGGTGTATACATTCTTCATCTTCCCTTAAACCTTGAGATTAAAATTGCTTTATAACTTTCTTCCTTCCTATACTATACCATTATATACAACCTTTCTATTATATACTACCACCACTAAATTAACTATTTCTATGAATCCGGTGTTCATCTTGTTGTGCTAACGAGGTATGGCAACTTGGACCGATGCATATATGTACCTGGTCCTACGTTGTAGCTGACTGACTGACTGTTCTAGATCTTAAATTTCATTATTCCTTCATATCTTGCATACCTTTGCATTCCATCTTTTTGAACTCTATTCTTAATGTTTAATCTTTAGCATTATTATTTATTCCTATATTATTATTATTATTCCGAATTCTTTGATTATAACTGAAATAACTAGACATAGTTATTCATTATATCTTGTTATAGTAAACTTTGAATATAGTCAAACAAACAAACAAAGAGAATTTACCAATTGTTATCATTCTACGCTTCTGTTTTTTTTTTCTCTCTATCTGCTACATACTACTTATTTAGTGTAAAGAGAAAAAAAAAACTATTTTATCTACAGTCATTGTTGTTCTTGTATGATTATTATTATTATTATTGATATTGTTTGTTCAGTTATTTTCTATCTGTTTGTTTCACTTTCTTGGTTAATCAAATATCCAGACAATTTCCTCTTTTCTTCTTCTAATGAGAACTAATTCACTTTACTGTTAGTTGAAGTTTGTTTGTTTGAATTTTGATTTGATTTAAGAGATTTTATTTTAGAAAAATGCAAACACATTCACTTAGTATTGTTTGTTTAAATCTTCCCATTGATGTTTTGGATTGAAACTGTTCAGTCTCTCATTGGCATATATGCATACTGGATATACCTACATCTGACGAGTCCCAAATAGGACGAAACACATGTCCTAGATTCCACTGCTAGCCACTATCCATCTTTGCTTATTATGTATAAAATAGTTTATAGCTTATAAACCTACTGAACTCAATGAATTCTTGATTGCTGTTAGAGGTATGAGGGCAGTTATCACCTCCCGGTTGCCCACACCGTGAAAGGGTTCTTCTAGAGGTACCTGAAAAGGAAATTGGGTTAGAAGTGGTCTTAATGACCTGAGAGCGTGACCGCTGTGCCCAAGGGACAACTGCTGAAGGATGGTCACACACGACCTTTTTGTGTTAGCTCCGTTCTTCAAAGGACCTTACCGACGGAGACGGATATCCATGGGATAAGGCGAGGTGTGCATTTTTATGGTCGACCTTTTCTAACCCCACCCCTCCTTGTGGGAAGACAGCGTCGCTGTTATGCTGGTTGTCTGAAGGAAACAACTTACTGCTGTCATACCTCTGTACAGTCAGCATTACGACTTCGCCTTCGGACCTTGGGATAGCTGCTTTTAGTCTTACCACTCTTCAACCGACCTGTCTGGCATGGTAGGACCTTGAGGAACAATTGTTCCATCCAGTATAGCTCGATTTGTTCATCACGGTAGTGAAACCCGAATACCACGTTAATGTAGCAGCAACGGTCGAGGCTCAATGAATTCAACGCTTCCAGAATTTCATTCGAATGAATGTTAATAGATTCACTTAGTTAAATCATTAAATATTAACTTCCAATCAACACTAATACTACACTCACTAATCACCGTATGTTTTAAGTGAGGTTAACTAACTACTTTTCGTTTAGATTTAATTATACTGTAATAATAATAATAACATCTATATGATTGGATGCTTTTATTAATATTACAGAGATAATGAACAGTAATGCCGAATTCACATTAAAAAGGCACATACATTTAGGTTTTCTAGACTAGATTCAGCTCTTATTAGATATTGACTTTTTTTAACGAATAGACCACTGAGCTTATACTCACTAATTGTTGCTAGTTACATAACTAGATGTATTACTGAATAGTAGCAGATGTAATACTGTTCTATAACCATTAATCAGTAAGCTTTATCAGTTATATGTATGTTATAAAGCAAGACAATTGGCAGGAGGTATGTGTATTTGTTACCAAAAGTTAGAAATTATTTACATAATACATATACACAACTTTCAATTGTTCATTTGCATGTTCCGGTGTGTTCTATAATCTGAACTGTCTTCCCAACGGGTCTCTAAGTGTTCTGCCAACGCTGTGCTTTCGGTGTACTGAAACTATTCACTCTGTTTGACATCTGTTACAAGTTCGATACTACTTTCCTGTACACACTGCTTATAATTATCCTTGTGAGTAGCGTCCACTACAATTTGATGTCACGGATATGTTAAAGTGTACGATGAAAAGTTAACTAAATTTATACAAAAACGATATGTTTTCACTATGATGATGACATTTTGATTTTCATCGTTTACATGAAATGATCATTTTCATATGTAGAAGGTACTTTGTCACAGATTGATTTCAGTTAGAGTGAAATTAAAAATCAGAGAGTACAGTAAATAAACCACTACAAAGTCCACTTGAACATTATTAGTATTGTTTATATTGCTAGGCTTGAAGAGGTTACGTTATCACCTAAAGCCGGTGAATGGAACAAAGATCAGCAACACAATAACAGGACAAGCTAAGCTATTCCACTTAGCCCTTGCCCTGCTAACTACAGGAAGAAGACCAGATTCAGCCTGGAAAAATGTGCATTCTACAAGCAGTAGGAAGCACGAATGAGCAAGCACACAACTCATGCGTATATATATATATATATATATATATATATATATATATATATATATATATATATATATATATATATATATATAGTACGAAAATGTCCTTAGACAACGTCACAAAATAGCATACCAAAAGGGGAAATGAACCAATGATATTTAAGCTCCTTTCAGGTGGGAAATACGAAGTAGGTGCTTTTGGCGTGGAAATGAGAAATTCGGATTTTCATAATGAAATTACAAAAATAGGATTTATGGGGATCTAGCATCCCCGACACATAAAGATCCATGTTCTCAAGGTATTCAATACCTTTTTGGAAAGATCTATATTTTCTCTCATTCTATCTATGCTGTTCTTTATCTTCAAAGTGTCAATTTATTACTAATTCCTTTTTTTATGTGACACCAAATAGTTGCGGTATCGTTATTTCTCGTATCAACTTTAAAAAATATCATTATTCTACACAGACTATAACAATAAAAGTTTGATGAACTGATGTATTGTCTGTTCTGTGATCAGTACTCACTTTATTATTATTACTTACTTACGCCTGTTACTCCCAATAGAACATAGGCTGCCGACCAGCATTTTGCAACCCACTCTGTCCTGGGTCTTCCTTTCTAGTTCTATCCAGTTTTTGTTTGTCTGTATTTCTCGGCGTTATGTGTTCTATGGTCTTCCTCTTCTCCTTTTGCCTTCAGGATTCCATGTGAGGGCTTGTCTTGTGACGCAGTTGGGTGATTTCCTCAATGTGTGCCCAATCCACTTCCATCGCTTCTTCCTCATTCCTTCCTCCGCTGGATTATTATTATTGTTATTATTATTAATGACTATTCAATATTATACTTTTGATACAATATAGAATTCTCAGAATAAAGTATTTCAACAAGTTTTCTTTTCTTATTCCTTCATCTATCCTAACGATGAACATTAAATGATGGCCAATTAAATATTAGCAGTTCACAAATTATCATCTGAATAATGTTCATTCTTTTCAATGCATATTGCCAGCTACCATAATATCTCTGATTGTACTTTTTCGTAACTTTTACAGCGAAAGGTCATAAACTTTTCATAAGCATGTCTGAGTAAGTTATGCGATTAATAGATATAATGATGTGATAAAAAACAAATAAAAGAAACAGATAACTTGTTGATATATCTAGATGGCCATAATAGGTACCTTAGATATTCAAGTAGGCCGCATATAATAGTTTATTTATTTACTTTTGGAGTTTATAATTAGTTGAATTTCCAATTGATACTTTCTTTGCTTACTTCTTTTTTCAAAATTTAATTTATATTTTTGAACTATGAAACTATTTATTACTTCTACCTAACAATCTAGGAAGTTAAATTCACTTAGTATTGTTTGTATGAATCTTCCCATCGATGTGTTAGGACTGCAACTGGTCAGTCTCTAATTGGCATATGTGCATACTGTGCGTATTGCCTCGATATAGCCTTGATTCACAAGCATGATAAGCAAAGATGGATAGTGGCTAGCAGTGGAATCCGGGACGCGTGTTTCGTCCTATTTGGATAACGCGATGACGTTTAAAACGAAAGGTACTGGGCGTCCTGGATTCCACTGCTAGCCACTATCCATCTTTGCTTAATCTAGGAAGTTGTTCTATGTTTGTCGGTTCATGAAATATCTCAATTAATTTGACTTTTGATTTCAATGTCTTTTTCTTCATGGAAATTTATCATTTTAATTAAAGGTATTTAAACGTCATTGATTCATATGATTGGTTGAAGAAAAAAAAAGGAATAATCGAAAAGAAACCTGATATTTTTGAAATTATTGTGGTCTACCGGTTAAGCGCTTTGGCGCTCTCACGAGTGCGGGATTGTGGATGCGTAATGCTAATGAGTACCATAATAGAACGAAACGGCCGTCCAGTGCTTCCAGGTTTTCCTTGATGGTCTAGCTTTAATTGACTCATGATCTCAACTCAATAAAATTATTCGTTAATTTCCTTATTTGTAAGCTTTTATATTTGTTGAGTTACCTAGTTTCCTTGCATTTACGGCGTTGTTAAGCATATATTGTAATATCCGGTTTATATGATATATAATGAATAAATACTTTATACTTATTATATTAGTCATTTGACTGAATGGATTCACAATAGAGAAAATATATCTTCTTTTTAACTTCATTTTTTGATTGAACATTAAGTTAAAAGGATTTGAAAGACCGATAAGCGTTATATTGTCCGTCAGTTGTTTACTGGATTTGAAAGACCGATAAGCGTTATATTGTCCGTCAGTTGTTTACTGGCCACTGTGTCATTAGTAAATTATAAAATTATCGAATCCTACAGGTAAAATCAGCAATAAGTAGTCATACTTCTATAGTGGTCAATGTGATCAAGCGGGGACAAAATAAAAGAGATTTCATTTTTGTAAAAGATAACTTATGTCAAATTGTCATTGTATTAACACTTAGTCTTACATTGTTTAGCTTCTCAATATACTTCAATTGACTCATGATTTCAACTTTGAAATATACTGAAATCTCCACAAATCCCCTTCTGATTATAATCATATGCTCACTAGTGACTGACTTCAAGATACATGTCATGGAGTTCTAGTGGAAAGCAGTGACCAGTGGAGTTCAACCACGTCTGTAGTGAGATAACAACTGACTGAAAGCAATTGGTGAATGGTTGCTCAACTTCGTGGATCAGTTGCAGTTAGACATTAACACCGTTAGATGCCGACTCAGTGGTCTATCGGTTAAGGGCTCTGGCTCGTAACTGGTAGGTCCTGGGTTCGAATCTCGCGAGTGCGCGGTGGTGGATGCACACTGCTGAGGAGTCCCGTAATAGGACGAAACGGCCCTCCAGTGCTTCCAGTTTTTCGATGGTGTTGTAGCTTCAATTGACTCATTATTTCAACTTTGAAATATACTATAAATTGCTTTATATATATATACTCTTAATTGCTTTATAATTCCCTCTTTTTGTATGCATTATATCACTGATTTATTTTCAGATGCTCTACGGAATATGTTACGACTTATCGGTAATTACCTTATATCTCCCTACTTTCCCCCACCCCCACCCCATTTCACCCCAGAGGTTTCCCCTTGTTTTATTTTGTTTTTCTTATTTTTATCTCTGTAGCTGTGAATTAGATGTGATTATTTTCTTGTGTCCTAGTGTATATATATTTTCTGTTCAGTTTTATTTATTTATTTATTTATAAATTTACTTCATAAATGTTCGTTTTATATCTAACTGTCCAATGTTGTATATAATAGTGTTATTAGTTTAGTGGTGATTAGTCTGTATATGTATGTCAATGTTTGTTGATGAATGCAATCCATTGAATTGATTATATAACCATCAGCTTGTTTTCTACATATATGTATGTATATACATGATTGTCGTAAGCTTTTTATTTGTATCTGTTGTTATGCTGGTATAATTGTATTGTCTTTTTCCTTCAACTTATTGTCTTATAAGTGTTTTATTATTATTCCTTCTTCCTCTTCATTTTCTTAGTTACTTTCTTTATATCAGAGAATGTCTATTGTTCATGTTGAATAATAATAATTATGATTGTCATTGAAGTGTGAATGTCAGTCAAATTCTCTTCGACAGTCAACATATTCATATTGGTATATTATCAGAATGAAAATGCTTGCAGTTATAATAGATTCAGAATTATAGATGAAATTATTCCTGACATGTTAGACTATTATTTATTATTATTTAAACATATAAATATTGGTACAAGGGGGCGCCAAATATATATATGCTCTGCACAAATCTCATTTGATTTGTGTGAGGGCTGTGATACTGTCCGGGTGCACAAACCGAAGCAGGTAGTTTTCTGAGGGGCCCACACCCGGACGGATCCTTTGAACTAAAGATCTGATCCACAAGGCGATGGAGCATCGTAAGAAGATGCAGTTTCATGGTAACCGGTGACCAACGGTTGATTCATACGCCATTTGTTCCCTCAGGGCACTGGAGCTCATGTGAACCATTGGTTTGGAACCAGGGTTTTCCAACTCACCTAGGTGGACTCACCGTGTCCACCAACCTGGTTAAAGCGCCAGACATTCGCTTTTCGTCCTCTCAATTTCGTAAACAACAGCCGTACCGCGAGATAGCAGTGAGTAGGACTTCCATGACAGAGGCTATCTATATACGCGTGGCCATGTGAGAGCATTTGGAGAGCTAGAGCTGACTCTCCCCACTCTCGGTCGTATTTGGGGCACATGTTAAACACCACCAATATTATTATTGTCACTATAGGTTCTTGATATTTATGCACGCTACGTTAAATGTTCATCGACCAATGTGGATATTTTTCTATCCTAGTTATGGGATTTACCATTGGATATCCAAGCCTAGAATTGTCATTTCTTGCGATGAATATCATACCATGTCTAATAGTTTACGTTTTATTACTTCAATGAATTAGTTAGTTGTGTAGTTCCTTCTATCAATTGATTTCACAACTTCTCACTAAAACTATATGAAGGTCATCTAGAAGCTTTTGATGTAGGTTTGTTCTCTCAGTTGGATGATTTGGTCGTGAAGCTTTCATCGTCCTTCTAAACGACATCATCAGCACAAATTTCGGGTAGAAGTGAAGTGATTGAAGTTTGTGCTGATGATGTCGTTCACAAGGACGATGAAAGCTCCACAACCAAATCATCCAACTGAGAAAACAAACCTACATCAAAATCACCCACCTGAGCTACAAATCTTCACCATCTCATCTAGAAGCATTTCCGTGTTGAATACACAACTTTATAGCTTTTTCTTAGCATTATTTGATTTCGAACAATTACTTTGTTATTTTTATTGTTTTATAATTAAAGCACTCGGATTTCAACTAGTAGTACGTACCGGATTCAATGGTTTTAATGTATTGATTCTATTACCTTGTTCTTATCGCTCGTAGCCTTTTCATTTACTCGCGAGTACAAAATGTAAGAGTAGGTAATAGAGAATCATGGATAAAGAAATCGATCATAATGAGACAGTTGAATTTCGAAATCTGACTATTACACGTTCCTGAATCATTCCATCTTTGAAATATTTTCCCTTTCGTCTATCATTAATTCAAGATGTTATATACTGGCAAATTATACTATGATTTCCTTCTATTTAAGATTGTATTCCCTAGTTCCTGTTTAATAACCAATGATCATGATTATCTCAGCCCTACGAAAAACTAATCACAGATTGAATAGCTCTGTATTGTCATCGCTAACTGCGACACTGAATGATTGAAGTTGCTATAGGGCGCTACATTTCCCTCAACATTGCAAACCCGCCTTATTGATGTATACCAACTAACATGAAATCTAGTTCAAACTGGATTTCTTAACAATTGTCTTCCATTCATTTAAACATATCGGATCTTACAAAAAATAACTGATATCATCTTACATTCACCTCCAATTGACAACACTACAACTTGACCGATAGGGCTTCATCAACATTAATGAAGTAGATAAATATGAGTTCGGTCACTACTCATTGATCAGTCAACCATAAATATCACAATTCTGTAATTAGTCAATGGAGGCTTGAGTAATTTGTTAATAAAATTTCAGACTTCGAAGTAGGATGATGCAAGATCAAATTCATCAAAGAGCATTAGTTCCCTGGAAATTGTATGTACGCATTCATATTAAGTACTGACTAGCATGAAGCGTAGACTCAAAGTCTCCTACCAGTTACCTCCATCCATCTAACATTTTAGCATAGAGCACACAATATCAAGTCCCTTAAATTGGTGACTACATTGCAACATGATTGATATAATTCGATTAGTAGTGTAGTGAACAAGAACATGTGTAGGGACAATCGAACGTATTTTACACGAAAAGTACAGACTATCACACTAAAGTCTGACAACCATACAGTAAACAGTTAATTTGCAAACTATCAATCAATTGTCTCAATCTTGACCTTTCCTTCTGCAAATATCAGTCCATTGTCTCCGATAATTATTGTTCATGCATTTTCATACCAATTGTGTTTCGTTTCCGTTCTTTCGTTATTGATCTTCTACTGAAATACATTCAATGCCCAACCATCGTTGTATGCTACATATGTGGATATAAGTAACCCACACCACAGTAGTACTGAAGCGTCAGATAAGTATGAAATTATATACATGTATTCTTATATGTAAGTTATTCTTGTTAATAAAACTGCTATCACACCTAGGATTAGTTTTATTCGATCATCCACTGTATTCAAATGATTGGTGTAATTCTTATCTAGTTTAAATTTGATCCACCTTTGACAGAATATATACAACGACCATTATTCACACGTTGCGACTTTAATACGTTCTTAATGTTCGATAAAGCTTGTTCACCTTTTTTTACGTCGTGTGCTCATTGATTTCACAGTTATTTTCATGTTCCTCGATTCTTATCCCCTCCCCTACCATCAGAGATTCACGTTTCCTTTTTCCTTCATTGAATATTTCAATGTATCTCATGTGTATAAATTGGTTGTAGTAATTGAGTTACTGAATGTGTGTGTATGTATAAATACTTATTTATTGTGAATGTTTCCTGTTCTATTATTTATTCTCATTCGGTTATGAAGTATTTTATTTGGCACTTCTTTTTTTAATTATCAGAAGGGGTTTTGTGGAGATTTAGTATTTTCATAGTTGAAAGCGTGAGTCAATTGAAGCTAGACCACCATGGAAAACCTGGAAGCATTAGACGGCCGTTTCGTCCTATTATGGGACTCCTCAGCAGTACCCATCCACGATCACACACTCGCAAGATTCGAACCTAGGACCTACCTGTCTCGAGCCACAGCCCTTAACCGATAGACCACTAACTCCCAAAATAGGACGAAACGGCTGTCCAGTGCTTTCAGGTTTTCCTTGGTGGTCTAGCTTCAATTGACTCACGCTTTCAACTTCTTTTTTTTACCAAAAATAAATGGTGTATACTTATTTTTCTCTTTTGGGGTTAGTAAAACAAACTATTGAAATAGTATTAGCTCTTATTTCGATTATGCATGTTTGTGTGTGTGTTTTTAGATATTGATTTTTCGTTTACTTTTATACATTTTAGGTGTTGACTGGAAGTCCCTAATAGTTCCGGCATGTTTACCAGTGGATACTGATTATTTTCCAGATACTTGTCGTCTTCGTAGTGAATGGTATACATTACATGATTATCGTGTTGTACCAAGTGGTATGTCACCAGATGAATGGGCTTCTATGAATAACGAGTAAGTTTGTGTATGTCTCGCTTTAGTGTATTAAAAAAAAGTGTTAATATATTGTTGGATTGTGACTACTACTGAAATTCAGGATGTACATTTTGTCTTATTTTTGACTCGTCAGTTGTATGTACTCGAATTTCAGTATTGATGTTGTTAATATTATTTCAGATTATCTTATTTTTATCTTCTTAAATTCCATTGTCTCCATTTCTATGCTGATGATGAAGTGTATTAAGTAATTGAACATGATCAGTTCCATGAAACCAATGTGTCACCATTGTGGAAATTAATTTGTATATTATGAAGATTAATGCAATTTGAAGATGATTCTTCGTCACTAACTGAGATCAGTTGCAGCATTAGTAAATAGTAGGGTAGCTGCTTCATCTCAGGTTGGGATTTCCTAGCTATACTCACTCATTTTGCTATTAAGGAATGAACCACAGATCTTGATGCATTACGGTATATACAATACCTTTGATCACTGATTCAAGTATTCTAGTGACCATGAGATCTAAAGATTCTTGATTTACTACTTGGCGGAATCGTAGCTTCTCGTTAATAAATAATCTCGAATCAGGACGAAATTATTGAATTATGCATTACTACGTATGTTTAAATTCTACCTACTAAATTGTGTAATATTGGATGGTTTAATTATATATTAAAAGAAAGTTATAAGTGGTTGAATAAACATTTGGTATCATTTCCTAAAGTCAGTAATTGTTTGTCTATTGCTTATTGTTGGCTTTTGATTTATTTGGTTTTGGAGCATTGAAATTATCATAATCAAATGGACTAATGAATTTAAGTGACCTGATTCAGAATTAAACGGTTGTTTACGCAAGATACTCAACATTCACTGGCCAGATACTATCAGCAACAGCGTTTTATAAAAGAGGACAAATCAGCTTTTAGCTGAAGAGGATGTTAGGATAAGTCGTTGGAAGTGGATAGGACATACTTTAAGGAAATCACCAATGTGCATTACAAGGCAATCCCTAACTTGGAATTCTGATGGGAAGCGGAAAAGAGAAAATCCATAGAACACATTACATCGGGAAATAGAAGCAGATATGAAAAGAATGAGTAACAACTGGAAGAAATTTGTAAAGGATTGCGCTAGACATAGTTGGATGAAGAATGCTGGTGAGCGACTTATGCTCCTCCACGAGGGGTAACAGGCATAAGAAAAAGATTCAGAATTAACACACAATGTTTGTTCAATTATATCTTGTTAATTTTAACATTACAACTTATTATACATACATTTACGTTAGGTCCTACATTATCTTTATTGATTTCATTCAATTTAATTACTAAATAGATCACTTACTTTTAACTTTATCAACTTTCATAACTCATAACCATCAATTCTAGTTTCTTAACTCATTTAATTAGAACAAAATGTTAATTAAAACCACCAAAAAAATTTTTTTTCATTTTCTCCATAACAACAACAAAAACAAAAAAAATTATCTCCGAGATTTTTTGAAAAAAAAAATAATTCAGTTCAAAGTACCATATTCAATTGCTCATGATTATTTGTAACATAAATGAAAATTTTTTAAATTTTATTTAAACACATAAATATTGATACAAGGAGGCACCAGATACATATACTGCTCGATTGCCCAAACCGAAGCAGGTGGTTTACTTAGGGGGTCACACCCAGAGCCTTTGACCTAAAAGTCTGATCCACAAGACAGTGGAACATCTTGAGGAGATGCAATCCCATGGTAGTCGGTGACTAACTATTGATTCATACGCCATTTGTTCCCTCAGGATACTGGAGTCCATATGAACCATTGGTTTGGAACCAGGGTTTTCCAACTCACCTAGATGGACTCACCGTGTCCACCAAGCTGATTAAAGCGCCAGACATTCGCTTTTCGTCCTCTCAATTTCGTAAACAACAGTAATGACACGAGAAGGTAGTGAGTAAAAAAAATATTTTGCCATAAGTTACATTTTTTTATTAACTAGTTAGAGTGAATAAAAACAGAGAAAAAATAATCCTGAATTAGGAATGATTTATGTAATTATATAAATGAAACTTTATCAAATAGAAATCTGTGTTAATTTACATTATTTATGTTAATGTCAATTTGTTTATTGAATGGATACACACATTCAATCTATTCTAATTTGATTGATGTAAAATTTGTTTAAGTTTTTTGATGTTTCAATAAAATATAAAATTTTGTGAAAAAAAACTTGAAAATATGTTTATCTTCGACCGTTGCTGCTACCTTGACGTAGTGGTCGGGCTTGCCTATCGTGATGACTGGTCCTACCATGTCAGACAGCTTGGTTGAAGAGCGGTAAGACTAAAAGCAGCAAACCAAAGGTCCGAAGGTGAAGTCATGCTGCTGACTGTATAGAAGTGTGACAGCAGTAAGTTGTTTCGTTCAGACAACCAGCATAACAGCGATGCTGCCTTTCCACAAGGAGGGGTGGGGTAAGAAAAGGTTAACCCTAAAAATGCACACCTCGCCTTATCCCATGGATATCCGTCTCCGCCGGTAAAGCCCTAACAAGTACGGAGCTAACAAAAAAATTGCCGATCAAAAGGTCGTGTGTAACCGACCTCAAGCAGTTGTCTCTTGGGCACTGTGGTCACGCTATCAGGTCATTAAGACCACTTCTAATCCAATTTCTTTGTCAGGTACCTCTAGAAGAACCCTTCCACTGTGTGGTTAACTGGGAGGTGATAACTGCCCTCATACCTGCACTCAAGACTGAAAAATGTTTATCATATAATTCTGGTGGAAGGAGAGGGTTAGAAAAAATTATTTCTAAAAAAATTAACACCCCTTATTTTACACCAGAGAGTTCATTCACCAGCTGTAAATCTTTCAAATTATGAAACGAAAATATCAACAAATAATGGCAAAAAGTTTTGCGTAGCCACTCTTAAGCTCCTATGTTCATGTTTTCATGCCCCCAAAATCACTACTAATCTAGTTTCCATTTGACATGTCTCAAAATGAATTATCTTTCCTTGATTAAGGAAACTGGGAAGTGATAACTACCTCACATACATGTAACAGGACTCGTGGTCGCTTCGTTCAAACCTCTTCGTCATCTTTTCATATTTCTTTTATCTACATTGATCTTACTACTTATGAGTAGTATTATATCAGCTAATGAATTTCGCGTTATCGATTTGTCCTGTGTTCATTATTTCTTTTCATCCAAATATTGAAATTGATCCTTGTAATTTCACGTTTTTCCTTCAATTTCAAGTCGTTTGTTCACTACTAGTTCATTATTTCTGTCTATATATTAATTACCATTATTATTATTAATCTTATCTTATATTCCAGTTGTTCAGAGCCCGGCGCTTTATACAACCGTCGCCAGTTGACAGCTCGTGAAGTATTTCAAGAGATGGTACTTCAGCGAATAAGTCAGGTATACTGTTTCATTGTAAATTTCAAATGTGTTTTTCTTCATTCCATGGAAAATCTAAAGTACTAAGTTGATAGAGTTGTACCATTTTTAAACCCGTACTTTGTGTATAAATTATACACAGGTGTACAACTGGGTGAAATTGGATTGAACTCACCAGTGATCGTCAGTTCCATTAAGTTTACAGACACACCTTGCTCACAAGTACCAAACAGCATCAAACCTATGTCTAGGGTTCGCTCTCGTCTACCTCCAACCACCATCTCATCTCAACATAGTGAACGCAATATTGAATCACCTAAACTAGTGTCCACATTGCAACTTCGTAGATAGAATTCGATCTGCTCTAAAAATGGTCTGACACATATGACATTAGTCACTACTCAGTTATCGGTCAATTGTAAATAGGTGTACGACGATGTGGTATGGCAAGATATTCAACTAAACATATTTTAGTCGCAACGCCTATATCATCAATATTTAAGATTAAATCATTCTTATTTTCTCGGTGAACGCTGAGGTTAGTTTACTTTCAGTCGATACTTAATTCAAATATTAGACTAATGTTATAGTTTATTCGCTTAGCAGATGTGGTGAGTTTTTGTTGGGATGATCCTAAAATATCTCGCAATAAACATGATATGCTCAGGAAACACTAAGAAGCATTTTATCCAGTCAGCGTTTGACTAGAAGTTTTGCTAGAAACATCACGAAAATGAAAAGTCACATATAGAGGTTCTGATCGACTGATTACTACACTGCTGCTATGTTTAGTAGCATTCTAGAATTTTCAGGAAAACACAAGGTCTTCTAAAATACTATAAAAACCCTATATTTTCTGTACATGAATAAGTCTTTGGGGTAAAGTGCTTCTCGCGTATTTGGCGCTTTCTCTCGTGTTCGAGTCACTGTGTAGTTCTAGCTTGGGGGTACAAAACTAGCATAGGATCCGAACATAGCGTTCAATCAACAAGACTTATCAGTTTTTTTTTAACCCTGTTTCATTTGTGTAAAGTGTGTACTATTACTCTTTATTACAAAAATGTTAAATGTTTATTTTTAATTATAATAAACAAATGGTAATGTTGCATAAACATAATTAATATTGATCATACAAAGCTTCAATGTTTTAGACAAATATCAGTTAACGACTATCAAAATCTAGGGATATAGACAAACGCTTAGGTAAAACAATCTGTTTACCAATCAAGGGGTGAGTATACTAAGCAACAGTTCCCTCTGTATTGTCCAAGTCTTCGAAATACTATTCATGAATAGTGGGACGAAAGTGTGATGTATTTTATGGTTAAATGAATGGGGGGTGTTTGACAAAATACCAAGTTTTTTTGCTATGCTATAAACTTTGATTGATGGAAGTGGTTAGGATACATACTATGTTTGTCTGGTCACCACCATTTATCCCGACATACAGTAGTAATTGATATAGACTTGTGTCGGGAGAAGGTCAACGGTGAATATACGAAGATATGGCATCAATCCCTGAAGTGTTTTGGTGTTAAACTGAGTTATACTGGGAGGAATATCTCCTGGTTGTTGCTTGAATAATTCCACTAACAGTGGCTTACATACATTCATTCGTTATTCTTTCAGTTGAACCGTCATTTTTGAACTATATTTCCAATAATAACCTGTTTATTGTTATTCTTTTCAATTGTTTTGTTGTCGTCCTAGTCATTCCCTCTCTCTATCTCAATGCAGTAAACTGGGGTGATACATATACTTTTACAAGGTTTAATTTTCTTTGTGACTGACTACCAGACATGGAGTCCATAAATTTATATATACGTAGTTGAGCGTTCAATCCCTGTTCCAATCAGTAGATTGCTTTCTGCTCTCTGAACTCATCCCTTCACTTTCTGGTACTTGATCTTATTAGTATATCGTTATTTGCAAGACCTGGAATCCTTTGTTCTGGATCTGTGTAAAGTCGTGATTCAAAACCTTTTTTGAATTTTAAAATAAGATAAGAGAAATGTCGGTCTTAATCCTCATCGATTTTTACTGGTTCTCCATCTGGCATCAATTTGTGTGAAAACTAGTTGTCCAATTAAACTATTTAATTGTCTTTAGCAGCTACAATTCTTCACCCTAACAACAGTGAAAAGGAACATGTTATTAGAATAACTGATTTTGAAAGATCTTCAGAATAATTATGTATAATCTGCTCAACCAGTTAAGTTCATCCTCGGTTGATGAAAACATTGAACTTGTGTGATCTGTTGTGCTTTCTAACCACCAACTCATTGTTCATGGGTGGAATTCAGAGAAATCGTCTGTTCACATGATTATAGGGAAACATTTGAAGTTGTGAAAGTGTCTACAAAATTCATTCACAAGTCCCTTGAACATTGCAGGAATAGAGATAACCCCAGTCAATCTTTCAGTTTCCTTGAAATGCATCACTGATAATGAATTATTTTTTCTCAAGTATAACTTCAAGGGTAAACTCTAAAGGGACGTGTTCTCCTGAAGAGAGAAATATTGAAAGTCTAATCACATGTACCCTAAACTTTGTAGGGTAAACTTTCATAACCTCAGTTTGTGCATGTATTGGACACATTACATATAATTCATGTTCATCATTTAATTCCTTATCAAAATTTCTCATATCTTTAATTGCAGGGGTTTCAATTATGTCATGAAGTTGTAGTACATAATTCAACTAATTCTAACAATGTTGAACATCATTCTATCACTAGTATTAATACATCTCCTAATTCTATTATACAAAATGATAATCTTTCAAATTGTTCAAATAATAAGCCTAAAAATTTATCTGTAATAAAACAAAACAATGATCGACATACTACATCGAATTCTTTACATACAACATATCATTCACGAAGAATTTCAAATATTTCTACTACTATGATAGATACTACTACTAATGATAATATTAACAATAGTTCTAATTATATCCCAACTAATAGAAATACTACTAATACTACTCAATTTACAAAATCAACAAATCGATGTTTACCAACTCGTTTAACATCAAAATTTCCTACAATCAATAATAATACTCAACCATCAAGAGGATCAAGTGTATCATCATTATCATCATCCGTATATAATGGACGTATTCTAGGTGTTGGTCTAACAATAAATTCATCCAATAGAAGTGGAAATCAATCAAATTGTCACAATAGTAATCGTCCTAGTAATAATCATAGTAACAATAATAATCGTAATAGTAATACTAGAAACGTTACCACAACCATTAAATCTATAAATCGTTATACAATGAAAAAATATGACAATAATAATAATAATAATAATAATAATAATACTACTACGAATCCAATGTTTAATTCATCATTATCAAAATTTGATGATACTGATCAATTATTGAAGGTAATTGTTTTTTAAAGCTGTTCTGAATGTATGTTGCATGTTCAATTTCTTTCATTTAAAATACACATAAATTCTGTTACAATACTAACTAGTCACCATGGAGTCTCCAAATGCCCTGGTACGGCCGAGAGTGGGGAAAGTCCGCTATCCCTCTCCAAATGCTCTCACATGGCCACGCCTATATAGCCTCTGTCAGGGAAGTCCTACTCACTGCCTTCTTGTGGCAGAGGTGTTGTTTACGAAACTGAAAGGACGAAAAGCGAATGTCCTACGCTTTAACCAGGTTGGTGGTTATCTGAGGGAATAAATGGCATATGAATCAATAGTTGGTCACCAGCTACCATGTGACTGCATCTCCTTACGATGCTTCACTGTCTTGTGTATCATATCTTTAGGTCAATGGCCTCGGGTGTGTCCCCATAAGAAAACCGCCTTCTTCGGTTTGGGCACCCGGTTAGTATCACAACTCTCACACAAATCAAATGAGATTTGTGTGGCGCATGTATATCTGGTGCCCCTTTGTACCAATATTTATGTGTCTAAATAAATAAAATAAATAAAGTCACCATGGAAAAATAAAAGAGTGAAGCGTGTAAGTATAGTCAGTCTTTAACTGACTTCTATTCTGAGTTATATGTGATAATGTCTAAAGCGATTAGATTCCATTATATCTATGATTCCAACTTAAGAGTTATGATAGGTGTTATATCTAGAACTTATATTTTTCTTTCTTTACTGTGTACAACTTGAGCCCTCGAACTCTAGAACTTTGCATGTTGCAAGTTAGAAGACAGAAAAAGATGCGTAGCAAGGAATCTTATTCCAAAAACACAATGTCAATTATGGTACAAAACACTCAGGTATTTATAGTCTTTAGTAAAAACGAACTCATCATTACAGTGGTTTTTAGCAATCGTTCGATCGGGAAGGTACACGTCAAGGTTTTGGAATGTTCTTTCTAAAGATGGTTGGATGAAATGTTTTCGGCTTTTTCAAAGCTTCTTTGAGTTCATTGGGGGTCGTTTCTACAATAGTCAAACAGATTTTAGTCTTAAATATCTTTCTTTCATATCATAAACTGACCAAGTTTATACTGAATGACTTTTATAATTCACATACTTTTCTTCATTCCTCCTCACAAATACTACTCACTAAGATGAAATAACTACATTTCAAGGTAATGAGATAGTTGCTTGTTGCTTTAAACAATGAATTTTTCAGTCATTTTTAGGAAAGATCATTTCATACTATCCTCCAATTACTTCATATTAAGTATAATTATGTAGTTCTATATTCTCAAATATTCGTACCATGAATGAACTTAAACGGAATTACTTTCGGGTTTTCCATGGTGGTCAAGCTTCGATTGACTCATGAATTCAACTATAAAATTACTAAAATCTCCACAAAAACCCTTCTGATTATAATCATATGCTCACTAGTGACTGACTTCAAGATATATGTCCTGGAGTTCTAGTGAGAAGCAGTGACTAGTGAAGTTCAACCGGGTTTTTTGTGACATAGTAACTCACTGACGAACGGTTGCTCAATTTCATGGATCAGTTGAAGTTAGACATGAACACCGTTGGATGCCGGCCGGCTCAGTGGTCTAGTGGTTAAGTGCTCGCGCGCGAGACTGATAGGTCCTGGATTTGAATCTCGTCAGTCGGCACCGTGGATATAATCTATGTTTTAACAAGTAATAGTATTATATGGTGAATTGTTTTAGCTTCTTCACCATGATTTGTAATCGCTATATGTAAACTTACTGAACCTTTTGAATTCGTACCGAGATTGTACCTGAAACTATTCCTCTACAGTTAACAAGACTTCCAAGAGAAATGAAACTGTCAACTTACCCAACTACTTCACTCCCTATTGTTATTTCAGGAGTTGAAGATAGGAAACATTCCTAACATGCTTGTGCTGTTACTCAAAACAATCAAAAGGTTTCATGTTGTCAACATCTTTACCATACAGGACTACGTCATCTGAGTAATATAAGTGAACGTCTTGATAGTTAGCTCAACTCTTGGAAAGCTAAGTGAAAGAGTGATTTGTAGGAGAATATCTTCAAAGGTAGCATCAATTCCACATAGTGTAAAAACTTAATAAACAGTTAAATAACTCAGTTTATTCAAATTACCTTCATATATTCGCTTCTTTTGTTTGTTTTCCTCGTGAAACAATACAAACTATATTGATAAATATAAAAAAACAACCTTACTTTTTAAGACTTCAGTTCAATAGTCTAGACATATTTGATAAATATAAAAATTTTACAGAGTTGAGATCATGAGTCAGTTGAAGCTAGACCACCATGGAAAACCTGCCAGCGCTGGATGGCCGTTTCGTCCTATTATGGTACTCCTCAGTAGTGCTCATCCACGATCCCACACTCGCGAGATTCGAACCCAGGACCTACCAGTCTCGCGCCAGAGCACTTAATCGATAGACCATTGATTGTATACCACTAATCATATTTCATGGGAACTTCGGAAATTAGCTTTATCACTTGAATCCTCCAAGTAGATTGACTAGAATTCAGATCTATAACAGTCAAGTTCTCAAGTCAATCTCAGCCTCAAAGTTAACAATTCTTTTCTTTTTCCATTACAAGAATCTAACAATTAAAAGAATGTTTGGAAAAAGTCACTCAGTCATATATAATGTAGAACTTGGCACATATATTTATCGGTTCAAGTTGCCATGCCACATTAACACAGAAACGTAAAATTATTTCAAGGTAAATCCTAATGTAGTAAAGTTGTGATAGTATTATCAATAGTAGAAAAGATTAGGAGTAGAATGAAATCATAAGGAAATGTTGGAATTCAGGAACTATGAAATAATTTTGATAGAGTTTTGTTCTTTGAATTGGAGAACTTAAGATATGAAACAATCTCATATGATGACCATCTTTCAAATATTTGTAGAAATATAAAGGAACTATGCTTAATAGGAATAGTGACTATCAGTTGATTACATGTTCAAACATTGTTCTATGTATTATGCTTGTTGGAATAATCAGATAGTAATATTAGGTCTCGCCATGAAGAATACTATGTTTTAGGGTTGACTACTCAATGTTAATAAAAATGTAATTTTATTTTGATTATCATTTTTGTCATGATTCTAGCTTGAATCTCTTTTTCACTCAGTTTTTTTTTTCTTTCAATAATCATTGTTAAAGATTTAGTTGGTTTTTTTTCCTTAATTCCTTAAGTGGGTATACTTGTTGTAGCCACCACTTACCTTCACTCTTTACCTGATCTCAATTATTTGTTGTTATTGAAATTAGCTTGTTTACACATTTGTGTTTGCATATATGTATGTATGTATGTGTGTGTGTGTGTGTGTGTAGTTATAAATCGGTAACTTGGTTGTAACTAAAGGTTTTAGACAGAATTTTGTCGGTGTTTATCATGAACATATTAGCTTTTCTTTTCTGGAAATAGTTTCTTTCATTTGATGTGTGAAGTTTTCTTTTTATAGTATAGAATACTATCAACAAGTTTGTAACTGTATCTTAATTAACCACAATGTAGGCCTATTATTTATGCATTTTTTTAATAGTTTCCATGTTGAATTCATTTTGTATTATTCGTTTGAATGTTCCTATTGATGTTTAAGACTGAAATTGATCAGTCTCTTTTAGTATATGTGCATCCTATGAAGATTGTCTCGATATCACCTTAAGTTACAAGAATTATAAGTAGAAATGATGGTGGTTATCAATGGAATCCAAGAAACGCGTTTCGTCCCATTCGTGATTCATCAGCTGGATGTACCTGTGGGTGCGCACAACTGAGGAGTTTCATACTCGGACGTAGCAGGTGTCTCATTTTCAATGCTACGTCAAGTGAGATTAATTTGAGACGAATACAAGCTCCAAATATCCGTAATAAATCATTATTTTTGTTGATTTGCAAATCACTGTATGTCAAATTCTCACTTACACCTTAATATTTCTAATAAATCCTGTTCTTGTGAGACGTTGTTGCCGGGTAGATTTCAATCTTTCCATGGAACAATGGCTTATTGATTAATACGATATCGAACCTTTGCATTACTAACATGGTTTGCCACTGGATGTCATCAATCCTTCGGAGACAACAATCAGCAAATGCACAGAGTCGTCTAACATCCTCAACTTAGAAAAGCCAGGTTTCACAAGCATCACTTACGCCAATATCAGCACTTATGCAGCTACCTAGATACATGAACTCCTACACTACTTCTATCTGCTCATTACGCAGGGCGAGTACATGATAAGGGTCTTTCCAGTCTTGTAAAAGAACTTTACACTTCGACGGTGCAAATTACACACCATAACAGGTATGAAGATATTGGTAAGGATAAGTTCCTATTAAGAACTACTGAATTAAACAGTGATTCAAATTTATATTAATTTACTCACTTTCCTATAATTAACTATTTGTTCTTTGTACTTGTACTTGTCATTTCTAGTATAGAACTCCTACTTTTGTTAATTGAATTTTCCGTTTATAAACATACTGTCTCGTCAAAATATTTAGTAGGCAAATTATGTTCATTAGTTTGTTCTGTTTTGGTTGATAAGTGTGTGTATCTCCCCTCTCTATGTATTTACATGTCGTTAATTAATCTGACATATGCCAGTAAAAACAAGTCAGAATAATACTAATAATAACTATGTTTATGTAAATAAGTAGTATTGGTCTTTTTATTCGATATTTTTTCATGATTGTGTTTGTTGTATACATTAAATAAACAAATGTTTTTCTCCAATATATTAATTATGCCAAACTGAACTTTACTATTTTTCAAACAAAACGATTATTTCAAAGTTTTGGGTGTATATGTAGAGATTGTAAAGTTTTCTATAGTTGAAGTTATGAACTGATCTTAATTAGTCCATTATTAAAAACCTGAAAGCTTGACATGTGAACTCTGTCGAATGCTCGGTCACTGCTCTAGAGATAGAGTATTGGCGCGCAATCTGAAGGACCTAGGTGACA